CGGCAGATCATGACATCGTGCTTGAGCTCCTAAAGAGCGATCTACAGGCTTTCGCCCAGTGGTGCCGCACATGGCGCCTTTCTCTTTCTTGGCATAAGTGCTCAGTCATGGTGGTTGGCGACGACCGCCAACCTCAACTAAGTATTGAAGGTCACGCAATAAATGTGCCAGGGGTTATAAGGGATTTGGGCGTATCATACTCCAAGAGTCTCAATCTCTCGGAGCACTGTGCCTTAATAGTCTCCAAAGCACGTAGAACGACCGGTTTATCCTCCGAAATTTTAAAACTAGGGACATCAGGATGCGCCTTTACAACATGTACGTTAGACCTGGTCTGGAATACTGTTCGTTTTCATTTAGCCTCATGCGTGCTACTGAGCGGAAGAAAATAGAATCCGTTCAACACTTTTTTACCAAGAGAATTTTAACCCCGGAACACCGACATTTGTTTTACCAAGAACGTTGCCGGTTTACAGGCCTCGATCCTTTATGGTTCCGTAGATTACAAAAGGGACTATTTTTGCTATTTAAACTCTTATATAATCACACATTTAACCCGCTCACCTCTTTAAGACATCACATCCACCCACGACGTAACAGTCACCGTGAGGTCTTCTTGTTTCTGCCTCTGGCACGTACTGTTAAATATCGTCGGATCTTTTCTGTAAATGCAATTGCTATTTGGAATAAACTACCCATGAGTGTGAAAACTCTGCAAAATTATCCTTTATTTAAGAGAACTATTACTCGATTTTTGCATTCAGAAAAGCTCCCACAAATTTTGGGTGCTGAATCTACTGATCGACTGTACCGTACCGATGGCGTTTGTAGTCTCTGAACACTATGGCCGGTCTCACCAGCTGTTCCTCAACGCCTCTACTTTGACTATCCCCAACTTCCTAAAAGGACTTTGACGTCCGATAATCTCCGATACCGTGCAACCTCGCCCGTTCTTGACGGTCGATATTCTACCACCGCCGACAGTTTTTTTTCTCCTGAGCCCTCCAAACCACAAAAACCACCATCAACTATATTTTTATGCCTTAAGCTCAGGAGTTTTTTTTCACTGCTGGTCGGATTTGTGTTTAATCGCTTCCCTTGACAATGCCTGTAAACTGGCATTAAATTAAAATTTAGTTATTTATTCTTTGCGGCGAGAGAATAACAGATGCAAAGCAGAAGTTTCCCTTGAATGAGGAAACATCCAAGTAATAGGGAGAGTGCTTTAGGTAGGATTTAAGATAAAGAAGACAACCACCCCCACGCCTAGTCGTGCGGTTTTGGCGGTAAAAATCGAAGTCGTCCTTGAGAAGGGCAGTGTCAGGAATTAGAGAATGGGTCCAAGATTATGTTACACATATAATATCAGGCGTCCAGAGCAATGGCTCTGATTTGGGCCATCTTGTTTATAACAGACCTGGCATTCAATAATATAATATCTAATGTGTTTCAAACGGCAATGCTTTTTTCGATGGTATTTTAAATAAAATTTGGAGGCGGATATGTAGGCTGCGAATTAATGACACTTGGAAAATAAGTACCAGTTAATTTAGAGTTATTGACGTATGCGGAGACAGCCAGAGAAGGCTGAGTATGAGACCTAAAGGAGGTGGGGACATAGTTTTGAAACATTGGAATGCTAGGGGAGTTAGAACATGGATAGACTTGTTGGTAGTTAGATAATGGAGGAAGGGGAGGAGGAGGAGGAGGGAGGATAGAAGGAAAGTAGGGGCTAACGGGTAAGGGTAGGCCACTAAAAGAATGAAATGGTGGGAAACCAGGTCTAGATTGGAAGTCAAAGGAGATAGGTTGACGTACCTAAGAGCTATTGGCCTTTAGTTTTGGGAAGCATGAACTAGGTTGGGGTATAAATGATTAAGGGCAATTCATGTATGAATTATTTGCTGGATATATAGTTGGGCTTTGATAAGTAACCGGTACGCAGAACAGAGAGTTATTCGAGGATATAATTGGAGCTGAGTGGTTTGAAGACTTGCTTGGCTGAACAGACTTGTTGAACCGGATCGGACTCAGTTTTAAGTGTTTTGCAAAGGAAGCACTAAACAACTCTGTCTTGTCAGTGACATCGGTGAGAAAGTCTTTTTTTATCATGTAGCGAGGGTGGAAGTTCGTGACCACGCTTAGAGTAGGACCGATGATGGAAGATGCTAGCGACAGATTTGCCAGGGTTCGAGTCACTGAGGGCAAGTGATTCTCTTTGGTTGTCACGCGCTTGGCGCATCCTTGAGGTCATCTTAAAAATATCTGTGATTCTAAGATGAACTGATAAGGAACTAGTGGATGGGTCACTCAGCTGTCGCCTCAACGTGTTTTGTCTGTTGTAAAGAAAATGAGGAACAAGGGAATCTGAAGAATTAGGCTTGAGTTATCTCCGCGGCGCAAACTCCAGAATGCCCTTGGAGACATTGCACATGACATCGCGAAGAATGGTTGCATTACTACAAGTGAGGAAGCCACACCAATCCAAAGATATAATATAGTTATTTATTTGGTCGTTATCTACGCAGTCTTAGTTCATGTAAGTCCGAACGGCGCTTGTGATTTTTGAAAAGGCAAGCGGTAAGCAACAATTATTTTATATGTGGTCACTGTCAAAGAGGTCCTTTTTTAAAGCAACAAAATGGGGAGCAATGTCATTGGTAAAGATAAGATCTAAAATGTGATTCTCTCTTGTTGGAAAGAGCACCAGTTGGGACCAATTAGAAAAATTGACAATATCTTGAAAGGGCTGGAATCCGGGTTGACAGCTATTGGAAACCCAGTCCATTTCAGGAAAATTAAAATCCAAAGTGATTATTTTAACATCGAAAGCGGCTTCCAAAAATAATTTAAGGATTTCAGAGAATTGTGAATCAACCCGGGCTAAAGAATCTTGGGGATTGTAGATACTGCCAATAATTGCCTTTCTTTGCGGAAAGAGAATTACAGATGCAAATCAGAAGTTTGCCGTGAATGAGGAAACATCCAAAAAACAGGGAGAGTGTTTTATGCAGGATTTAATATAAAGACGACAACCACTCACACGCCTAGTCGTGCGGTCTTTGCGGTATAAATCAAAGTCCTCTATGAGAAGGGCAGAGTCAGGAATTAGAGAATGGGTCCAAGATTCTGTTACACATATAATATTAGGCGTCATTTTCAGAGCAATGGCTCTGACTTGGAGCATCTTGTTTATAACTGACCTGACATTTAGTTATATAATATCAAAAGTGTTTCGAACGGCAATGCTATTTTCGACGGTATTTAAAAGAAATAGGAGGCGGACATGTGACAGTTCGACCTTCGGTTCCGATTATGTCCACCGTGTGCCTCACAGCTGCAGCAGCAATGGGAGCAGGGGTTTATAGTGCCGGTAGTCTTGCGTATCATCTACCTACACTCTCTCCTCTTCCCACGCCCGTGCTCGCTGTCAAGACAGAGTCAAGTAGACCGGAGACGAAGGAGGCCGAAGGTGGATGGCTCGGACCGATCCTCACCTTGACGTTCCACCACACCCCCTGGTCCACACAACAAATGACCAGGATTTCAACCAACACAAGAGAGATTCGGAGACTGGCACGGCCGAAGCCGCACTTGGGCGTGCCGCCAGCGCCTGGCTCAAATCCCACACTGTGGTGAGAGTGCCATAAAGGCCACATTAAAAAGGAGCCATTGCAGCCTGACTCTCAGACCGCCTCCAGTGAAGGATTAGGTCCAAGTTACCCCGTCAGTTGGCAACCTTTCAAGCCACGGCTTTTAGTGCACCGTGATAGCTTCAAGCGCGTTCATATTGTTTATAGTGAGGAGAAAGTGCGCTGAGTCGTCGACCTCACACTCCCTTCCCATTCCCACACTCCCACTTGCGTGAGAATGCCGTGAAAGATGCTGTTTCAGCCCGTCCCCAGCCCACCAGTCCGCCACTGCACACAACACAAACACAACGCGATGAACTGCGTCAACCGAGAGCGGGCGTCAGTCAGCAACTTTCCTATCCACGACGCTTGACGTGTTGGGATAGTCTCTGACTCAAGTCACTCGTGCAGCCGAAGACGCATGGGGACCGAGTCGAGATGCACACTTCCCACTTGCGTGGGAGGTGGCAGTTGGGTGCAAGAGCTGTGTGAGTGTTTATTTCTGGTGGAGTGATGGTAGTGGTGGTGTTGGAGGAGGAGGTAGGGAGGGAGTGAATGTGTGGTGTGACCGGCGGTTGTCTACCGCAGGTTGTCGTGGATGCGTATGTGGGCGAATAGGCCCATGCGATGCCTGAAGGTGCCAGGGCAGTGTAAACAGTTGGGACGAGCTTGGTGGGTATAGGTGGGTGCTCCAGGCACTGGTTCGCCAGTCTCTGTGCGATGAATTTGCAAGTGATCGACCAGGCCGATGCGTGAGGTGGATGTGCGTGAACAGTGTGGGCATGAGAAGTCTGCGGTGTCAGTGTCAGCTACAGAGGAGGCGGAAGTGGTGGTGTCGGTGGCGCGGACGGATGGAGCGAGGGTGGGGGTGTGCACGGTGGAGGTGTTGGATGTTGTGGGTGTGTCTGGAGTGCGGTCAAGGCCGCTCTCGTGGATGCGCATGTGGCCGAATAGACCCATGCGATGCCTGAAGGTGCGAGGGCAGTGTTGGCAGTAAAGGTGAGTGCGGCGGGTGTAGGTTGGTGCTTCAGGCACTGGTTCGTCAGTGTCTGTGCGATGGATTCGCAAGTGACCGACCATGCCGATGTGTGAGGTGAAGGTACGGTCGCAGTGAGTGCAGGTGTAGTCTTGTTCCTCATCGCTGGAGTCGGAGGAGGTGGTGGAAGTGTCGGTTGTTGTGCGCAGGACAGTCGCCTGAGCGGCTGCCATTGGAGCAGTGGGCGAGGAGGAGGAGGAGGCGGCGGAGGGGAGGAGGAAGAGGCGGGCGGGGAGACGATGGTTGGTGATGTTCGAGAGGCGCAGTAGATCCGAAGATGTCCAACAAGTCCGATTCGAGCCCGGAATGTACTTTGAAATCGAGGACACGTTGAAAGCGCTTGTGCGGCGGTGTTGCGGACTAGGCGGAGTTGTGATTTGCGGGCTTCACGTTACGATGCGGTTGGTTTCGTAGATCGCAGCGCCTGTTTTCACTGTCCTCCTCCAGGTCTGTCGATCGAGTGCAAGTTCCGCCCAGTCGGTCGGGTTAATTTGCACGCGTTTCATGGAGGACTTCAGGGTATCCTTGTAACGGCGAATCTGGCCTCCTTGACGTCGAGAACCCGTCGCGATGTCTCCGTATAAGAGTCGTTTGGGTAATCGCTCATCGTCCGTGCGCACCAGGTGGCCGCTCCAGCGCAGCTGAATTTGCCTCAGTATGGCGTAGATGCTGAGGTTTCCCGTCAGTTCCAGCTCATCAGTGTTGGGGATTCGATCCGGCAACTTCAGCCTCAGGAGGTGACGAAGACAACTGAGGTGGAAGTGGTTCAGACGACGTGCCTGCTTTGCGTACACCGTCCAAGTCTCCGCTCCATACAGTAGTGTCGGCAGGAGGACGGCCTTGTACATCTTCAGCTTCGTGCTCAGCTGGAGACCGTGGCGTTTTTAAACTGTGCATTGGAGGCGACCGAAGGTTTTACTGACTTTCCAGATCCTGTTGGCGACTTCGTCATCGATCTTGGTGTTGCAGGAGAGAGTACTGCCCAGGTACGGGAAGTTCTCCACTACTTGCAGTTGGGTTCCGTTCACGCTGATTTGCGGCGGAGCGTTGGGGGCTGTGACTGGGTGGGGTGGCGGTTGGTGTATCACCACCGTCTTCTGCGTGTTAATGACCAGACCGAAGTTCTCGCAGGCAGCGTAGAACAGGTCCATGCTCCGTTGCATCTCCTCTTCCGAGGTGGTGTTCAGGGCGCAGTCGTCAGCGAAGAGGAGTTCGTGAACGGTGGTTGTGGATACGCGCGACTGGAAGTGCATCCGCCGTTGATATACTTCGATCTAAGAAAGGCCTTTGACAAAGTCCCCCATAAAAGACTACTGATAAAGCCAAAAAGTCATGGAATTAGGCCACCCCTTCTTGATTTTCTTAAATCTTATCTTCAAAACCGATACTAGGTGGTGCAAATTCGAAACGTCGTTTCAAAAGAGGAGGAGGCACAGCGATTTATGTGTCAAATGAAATTCCTTGCTGTCAGCGAGAAATACCCGATGACGCGCCGAGAACTTTTGAAATAATTTCATGCAAGATATGCATCAAATGATTACCGACACTTAACCTGTGTGTTGTCTATCGGCCTCCC